TAAAATTAATTGAATTAAAAGTTAAATTAATAAAAAAATAATTGAAAAGTTAAAAGTTAAAATTTTATTTCATAATTTTAGGGTTTCTAAATAAAGTTCCTAAATAAAATGTATATTTGTTATACTTATTTCTGTCGAGCCGCGGAAAGAGGACCGATTTCGAAGAACTTCTTCCAACATGATTTAATATATATAGAAGGTCCACGAACGGTGATTCCTTCCCGCGGCCAAAATATATTTATTATATTATAACAATTGCCTTGATGTGCATTCCCAAATTTGAGTTTGAAGATACCAATGCACACATGTATTTTATTTTAGGTTTACAAGAAGCACTAAAAATGTAACTTCAAAAAATTAGATCAAAAATTAATAATTACTGATAAAATATAACTAAATTAAGTTAAAGTTATTTAACTTCTTAACTTAACTTTTATCTTTTTAACTCAGCACTACCCAACCCTGCGCAAAACACTATATGATTTCATTTTGCCTGACCTTAAAGATCAATCAAAATATGTTTCAACAATTTTTCTGAGCAATCCAAAACCGCACATATGTCCAAAAATGGGACATAAAACGTCTAAGAGACATCAAGAACAATATCTTAAATATGCTTGCTGTTGTGTTGTTTGGGATAACGCAGGAATTTGTTTCAAACATACAATTGCAATATACACAATATACAACGTAATGATATTGATAATAATAAAAACGAATAAAGACTCCTAAATATGCAATAATGAATATGCAATAACATCGAGAAGGGCTATTAAGAGTCGACGTGGTAACCAACGCGCAAATTTAAATATAAATCTAAATTAATGATTCGAATGTTATGCTTAGCTCAGAACAGGATGCATTTCATAAGAATGCGCTCATATGCGAAATAACTTCTCAGCATTGTCATACTAAAAATAGTTCGAAATGAAATTGAAACTTGTTGTAATTTAATCATTGGTTAATAGTAAAATATCAATTTAAATTTGTGCTTAAATTTGCACTTAAATTGTTTACCATGCCAACTCCTAATAGACTTTCTTGATTTTACTGTTTTTATTTTATATTGATTTTACATTCATTACCCAGAGTTGTTGCTCTTGTATTGTCTTATCTGATGTGATCGAGGCTGGTGCCAAAGAAGAATGAGAGTTCGTATTTTCCTGCACTTTCGACGAGTTGTTTTGTGCTTTAACGGAATTATCTTGCAATCGCGTTTCTAAACTATTCGTATCTTGATTTTCCGACGATTTGTCCGCATGCTTGACTTTATCCTCTTGATCGGCACTATTTTCCCCTTCTTTCGACTTGTTCACGTTAGGCTTAAGTTCAACATGATTCGCGTTCTGTCCCTTCTCCACTTGTGCTGCGTTACTTGGCTCCTCTTTAACTTTCTTAACGTCAGGTTTAAGCTCATCGGGAAGGTAAGCGTTACCTTCCTTTCGCCGAAATTTAACAATAATACTCCTTGTGTCCCACATTAAGCCATATGCCTTTTTGTAATCTGCTATCGCATCATCTACATTATTATATCTCATAAAAGCAAATCTGCAACAAAATATAAAAATAATATAAAACAGCTAAAGATTACAATCTCACTATCGTCATATTTTCCAATTCACTGATATTTGGTTAAGATGCTGAAATAAGAAAGATACGAGATATGAATTTCCACCTTCAGGAAAACGTTTTAGCAAAAGATTTCAAATAAATATAATTGATGTCAAATATAATTAAACTTTCGTTAAACCAGCAATCTGAGTCTTTTTTAGTACAAGTGAAATTTCACTTTCACATTTCTCCGAAAAAAAAAAGAGTGAATCAAATAAAGATGCTAAAATTTAAGTTAAAAAAGTCGATTGCAATCTTATATTGACTAAATATACATTTTATAAGGTATCTATAACTCACTGCGTGTTCTTCAACTTCCGTGCTCTTGATACATCTACTCGCGCCTTTGGAAACTTGCTTTTTATCTCGTTTGCTTTAACGAACGTAGGCAAATTTCCTATATATAAATTGTAAGGATTTATATCTTCGGGCTTCGTATTTCGAACGTCCTCGTTTCTTACCGCTTTCTTCTCGACTTTCAAGTATCCTGTACCAAATTTGATTTTCTCCAATTCTTTTATAGCACCGTCAATATTTACACTCTTCGCCATCTGAATGAAGCAATATCGTGGGCCGCTAGGATTTTGAAAGTGTATATTTCGTATACCAGGATGAAATAATCTAACAATATCCTTATTTAAATCCGGATCAGGAAACTTAATTATTAAGCTCTGCGCATTAACTTTATTCTTCATATTATATTCGTTTTCAGTCATCAGGGCTCTCTCAGCGTCCTCTCTATTCCACGGCTTGCTGGGATAGCTTTGAGACATCGGCTTTCTTTGTTTACTCTTTTTTACTACCTTTTCCTAGGGAAAAAAATTTTTTATCATGTTAGCTGTCTCTGCGACAAACGGTATACATTACTTAAAGTATGTTCACTAAGTACAATTTTCACATCCTGATCCTCCGTCTCCTCGCCATGCCTGTTGCTCACGATTCCCGGTGGAATGGGAGGTATGGAATGGGAAGATAGAGGAACAGTCATGTGGTTTCTTATATCGTCGTTCACTACTGCGGTATAATTATTTCTTTGCCACTCCACACCAAGATTACCCGTCAGAGTTGCGCCGAAGTATGCGCTTTGATCAAACTGACCCTGGGGCAGTCCAAAACGCACGGGTCTTCTATTCTTACGAAAATTATTCCTCTGGACATACATGTTACTTCTGTTGTGAGCAGCGAATCTCTCGTGATGTATGTAACTATTCCTCAGAGACACCTCTCTTGGAATCGTATTAGTAATTTCGCGCGGAGCCGGAGACGACAGAGACGCCTGCGACGCTATCCACTGCCACGTAGGGTGAATCCATGCTTGAATGGGGGTCACTTGGGAAGGCACTGATTCGAACACGTGAGGCGGAGGTGGGACTCGGCTGGGTGGCGGTGGCATGGGAGGCAGGGGTGGTTGCCCAGGTAGAGGCTGAGCGATGGAGGGTGTGGACGACGATGATGACGAGTAATTAGCGTACGCGGCATCGTATCCAAGTTCGTACTCTTGTTTGACAAAGGCTCGTTTCGTGTCACTTTCCTCGGGCATCTGAGGATCAAGAAAGTTTGAATTAAAACAAGGTGCACGCATCATAATTTATGAATTTTACGAAGCGTACGATCGAACGTTACTTCGTCGAAACGGCATTTATGTCGTCGCGCGAGCAACGTCGATGCAAATGCATACGTAAATATTGTCTAGTGCGTAGACAAATTAACCTAGAATAACCTGCAACATTATTATACGCGAGAAAAAAGAAAACGTAACGTGTCACTGATTATCGTTAAGAACGACGAGCACAAGAGGATCGTAGCTTGAAATTTACCGCGCGTTTCATACTGCCAAACTCGAAGTAATCGTCCTTACAGCATAGCAGCGTTTCATGAATTACAATGTAAACACATTGTAGCGCGAGCATGACAAGCGTAGCCACGGAGAAGACGCCAGAGTTGACAGGAATACCAACCTCTCTGTGCGCGCGCACGCACAGCGCACTGCGATTTTTGTGGGAAAAATAAAATGAATAAAGATATGACCCTGACCCGACCCCTGGATAATTTGATGACACGTAATTAACCGGTATGAAGCCAGCTGTCGAACTAACGATTTCAATAATTTCGAATATGTCATTCGATTGCTAGTCGTTTGCTAATTTTTGCATCTATTTTTATTTTGTTTGCATATTAATTATTTTGGGTAAAAAATCGAAAATAAAATTTGGACAAGTGCAACGGGTGTAACCGCGCGTTGATTATCCAGAAAGGTGATAAAACAGTTTGAAGAAAAATGTAATTTGATGCTTCTCTCTGGCGCTACCTTTATATAGTAATTCTAGTAACATATTTTCATAAACTGAAGTAACTAATTAAGATTAGATCAAGCGCCTCGAGATCACTTTATCCAATAAATTTTTTTTTTTTAATAAAAGAAATAGTGATTTTCAAGGTCAAGGATGCTTTTAGGAATTTTTACACTATTTTTCCTATATTCAACGGATAAAATTTTCTTTGAAAAAACCTTTGATTATATAATCATGGACCGCTAGTTGCCCCGTCCATGGATCTAAGAATCAATGGTGGAGCGTAGAGTGGATTCATTGGCAAGGGGGTTGCCAAATTTGCGGTAAGGGGAAATGCGAGCGCTCTCCTCTTCTATCCACTTATCGTCTCTTTCTACAAGAAGACCCCATCGGCTTGGTAACGAAGTTAACCGAAGACGTCCGAACAATCCGAAGATACTCGAAAACGCTAAAAAGAGCATTTCGAGGTTTCGAGCGTCGCGTTTTCAGCATTTTATAATTTTTTAAGAAGTTTTGTGCCAATTTTTACACACGTGCGCACACACACACATCCGTACTTTAAGGTTAACGAATATCTAGTCTTTCGGGAATCATCGGGTATACAACGAAAACACTCGACGGGGTCCTATCCGAGAAAGAGACAGCACTACACCCCCCTTACCGCGGATTAAACAACCGAATTGCCTTGCGCTCCATCCATAGATTCTTAGATCCATGGGTATCACTCGTATATCTTTCTCTCTTGCACTCCTTGCCACTTTTGAACACACTTGCGGTCTATAGAAAACAAAAGCATTCCACCTCCATATATTGGCTGCGTTCCGCAAAGCGCATCATGCGCATGATGTTTCATGGTATTCTTGTTGTTCATCAAATGTTAAACAAAGATAAAAGGATAAATCATATGCATGATGTGCTTTGCGGAACGCAGCTATTGGGTGCGTTCCGCAAAGCGCATCATGCGCATGATATATCATGGTGTCCTTGTTGTTCATCAAACGTTAAACAAAGATAAAAAGATAAATCTTGCGCATGATGCGCTTTGCGGAACGCAGCCATTATATACTCAAAAGGGACAGACCTGAATCTGGAACTTCAAGTTTTCGCCGAACGAAGTCTCCAAGATCAATTCGGAGTCGACATGTCATGTTATAACGGCTGACTAGTATACATGTATTTCGTGACTTTATTCGTACTCCACTCCATAAAATAACCGAAGTAAACGTGGGTTAGGCTGGTTAGAGCTGTTCGAGACGTTCGGGACGGTTGGGAGAATCGCGGGTAGTCGGTGGACGGACTGTGTTCGGGGGGTATCAGTTGTGATTTGCTCTTAACGTCGGGTAGACCCGCTGTCACCGTTCGTTGTCGTTTATCATCCCGCTCGAAAATGTTTCATCTGCGGAATCTAACGCGGCCGTTGATCGCCCTGAAGCAAGCGCCGAGTAATGACATACAGAGCATCCTGACACGCGTTGCGCCGGCCACTTGGCAAGCGGCGGCCTGTTGTCGCGGCTACGCCGATCACCAAATCCCAGAACGTCTTAAGGACGTGCCCGAGGCACCGAATCCCAGATTCTTCGACATGGTGGAGTACTTTTTTCATCGCGCCTGCCAAATCATTGAGGACAAGCTGGTCGAAGACATTGGCAAACGATCACGTGTCCCAATCGAGGAGCGCAAGAAGAAGGTTAAGGGTATCCTAATGTTGATGCAGCCTTGCGACCACATTCTCGAAACCGTGTTCCCGCTTAGGCGCGACTCGGGTGACTACGAAATGATCACCGGTTATCGCGCACAGCACTCCACCCATCGAACACCCTGCAAAGGAGGTACGAGACCTCGCGATATATATATATATTTTTATAATTGATAACACAATCAAATGAAAAACAAATAATAATTGGTTTATCCGTAATTTTTTTCTTATAATTCACAAAATTGAACAAGCCACATGATTGTTGTGAATTTTTTTGAAAATTTACGGATGAAGAAAATTTCTCAGATTTTTTTGTACGAGTTGGAACACTTTTCAGAAGGGCCGAGAAGATTTACTTCATTTCTAAAATTCTTCATATATGTGAATTCTCAAATGTTTTATTTATAACTTCTAAGATTTCTTGTTCTTTAAACTTTAAATTTCTGAAGAAAACTTGTAAAATCTGAAAAATCTTGAAAATCTGAAAAAGTTTAAAGTATTTTTTAGAAATTATTATCATATTTAAAATATATATGAAATAATATTATGAAATATGAGAATTTTTTTCACCAGGTGTATTTAATCCTTGGAAGATGTACTCTTTGGAGAAACTCTAATCAGGTTTCTTGATATATATTCTATTGACTAATCAAGAAGCTGTTCCACGTATAAATATATAATATATAAAACAACAGAAAAAGCAGTAATTTTTTAGTTTGATTTTTTACACTCTTGCTATGTAATTGGAATACACGTGTAAATAATCGTCGAAAACTAACGAATATTCATTGGTTCTTGAACGACTCAGTCATCGACTCAGTCATCGGCTTAATATTAAACTAATAAAGTTATAAAGATTACCTTAACCAAAGTTGACTTAATTGGTGATTAATTCAATTGATTTAAAGTAAAAAAAGTGCTTATAGACATTTTTTAGTCTAATTCATTGCTCTTAATTTAATTTTTTTTCTACAATTGTAAAATGTTGATTTTATTCATATTAATAAAATAACGAAATAGTAAATTCCTTGTCAAGTTAATCATGTCGATTAAATCAATTAGATTGAAAAATTCAGTATACAATAAAAAAATAAATTTAAACATATTATGAAATAGATTTTTTAATAAAAAAATTACCGAGTTTTTTTCGTTTTCGATACCATTTTTGCTTCGAAAAGATGTACGAATCACATTGCTTAATGATTCTATTTTTTATTTGTGTAAAGAAGATTTTTATTAATGTTTTTTTGTACAATGGTAAATCTTTTCTTCCTCTGAACGTCTGAAAGATATTCATTTTTGGCTTTATATATAATATATATATTTCTCTTTTATTAAAAAAAACTAGCAATACAGACGCGCGCTTCGCGCGCGCTCTATTTAACTGCACATTTACTTTTTACTATATTGAAATTGATTGACTAAAATTATACATCAACCTCAATACATACAACTGTTAAAAGTCAATGCAATGACAACCGCTCGCGAAGTTAGCGCAGCCAGAAAACCAATCAGCATCGCGGAAAAGAGCCAACAATAAATAACTTCGAGACTTTA